GCAAAGAACTTATAATTTATCATTAAAAGAAGAACAGAAGAATTCTACCCAGGCACAGGTACAGGCACCTGAACTCCTAAATTTGGCAGCGTTTCCTCAACTGCCGAACGAAATAACACCACAATTGACGCACAACCCTTCTACATCAACAGATCATCCCCATCAAGACTCTAGGCACCTATATTCAGACACTACGGTGAAGAATCAACAGCCGCGACGTCAGACGCCTCAGATTTCCAAAACTAAGACTCAGGCTTCCAAACCTAAGATCCAGACCTCCCAATCCAAGACTCAAATCTCCCACATTCATTCAAAATCTCCACGTCAGCAAATGCCTCCTCACCAGATACCTATACGTGTAAAATTACCGCCCGAACATCCAACTCCTGTTTATTCCCACCCTACTGCTCATATTTACTCTCCTTCCCAAGTTCCAAGGGTACATCCTTCATCAGACACTCCTTATCATAAGATCTTTCCCTCACGAACTCCTAATCAAAACCAACCTGACCAACAAAACCCGATCGATTTAATAAACTCCATCCTTGCTTCCTTCCTTAAAGATCTCCAAGAGACTATCAAGCCACTAATTACCCTCCTCACAAGAATCCTTACCGAAATTCCCTTCAATCTCTCACGATGAGCACTAAGCCCCTAGCTGTTCTTTTATGGAATGCTAACGGACTACAAAACCACCGAGACGAACTCGACATTTTTCTTCATGACTATCACATTGATATTGCTCTACTGACAGAAACTCACTTCACTCGACGTTCATATTTCTACATACGTGACTATATCACTTATAGATCAGACCACCCCGACAACACTTCCCATGCCGGTTCTTGCATCCTTATCCATAAATCCTTATCCCATTCTCTCATTCCTTCTACTCCAACGGAGGCTATTCAAGCAACCTCGGTTATCATTTCAACTCGTCCTTTCCATTTAACATTCTCAGCTGTATACTGTCCTCCCGGTCATACTCTTACCTATAACTTACTTGAATCCTTATTTCAATCCTTCGGATCGCGCTTTATTGCTGGAGGAGACTACAATGCTAAACACCAACGATGGGGTTGTCGATCATCCAACTCCCGTGGTAACATACTATCTTCTGTCTCAACTTCCAATAGTTACTCTGTCCTCTCTCCTATGAATCCTACCTATTGGCCAACATCCCTCAAAAAACGCCCTGATATCCTCGACATATTTGTCACCTCCCAAATTTCCTCTTCCCATGTCACAATAAAATCCCTGGATGACCTCTCCTCAGATCATTCTCCAGTTCTGCTTTCATTACACACAACCTTCGCTCCTAAGCCCTCGTCCTCTCCTACACTGATTACAGGACGAGTAAACTGGGACAATTTTCGTAAAGACCTGGAAAACGTGATATTGACACAGCCATAAAAGAACTTACTACATCTATAAGTGACAAAATAAAGAATAATACATCTACCAATAAAAGTGACAACTCCCAACAGACAAATTTGCCGCAGCATATTCGTATCTTATTAAGGGAAAAACGCAGAGCAAGATCGAAGTGGCACAGGACTAGATATCCATCAGATAAGACATATTACAACAAATTAACTAACCAACTAAAAGCTGAAATTAGAAAATACAAAGTTCAAAATTTACATAACATGACAGAAAAACTTACTACTTGTGACAAATCACTATGGTTGACTACTAAAAAACTCCTTAAATTCAAAGATTTTAACCACCCACTTATTACTGAAACCCAAACCTGGTCCAGATCTGATGATGAAAAATCTCAAATATTTGCTCAACACCTCTCAAAAACATTTAATCCACACCCAGGCATCCTTAATCCAACCCACCTTGAGTTTATTGAAGCAGAATTGGATACCCCACTCCAATTGACTCCTCCACCTAAAGCATTTCATCCTTCAGAAATATCCAATATCATTAATAGATTACCTTCTCGCAAAGCTCCTGGCCATGACCTAATCACCTCCCAGATCCTAAAATGTCTTCCTAAAAAAGCCATACTGTTACTAACCTATATATTTAATGCTGTACTCCGCACCACATATTTTCCTGACTCTTGGAAACTATCCATTGTCAAAATGATACCTAAACCCACAAAGCCGCCAGAACACCCATCCTCTTACCGTCCTATCTCCCTTTTACCCATTATGGGCAAAATCCTGGAAAAACTCATTTTAAAACGCCTGTATCCCATCCTAGACTCTAAACACATTATCCCAGATCACCAATTTGGATTCCGCACATCCCACTCCACTATTCAGCAATGCCATCGTGTGGTAGATGTAGTCTCCTCTGCATTGGAGCGCGGAATGTACTGCACGGGAGTCTTTCTCGACGTTGAACAGGCGTTTGATAGAGTCTGGCATCCGGGACTGATGTACAAACTCCGTGAATTCCTACCACCTACATACTTCCTCATTATACGTTCCTACCTTACTGACAGATACTTCAAAGTCAATCATAACAATGCTTATTCATCTCTTTTTACTCAGTCTGCCGGTGTTCCTCAAGGTAGTATCCTAGGTCCTATCCTTTACACAGTTTATACAGCTGACATCCCAACCCAATCCAACACTGTCATCACCACCTATGCCGATGACACGTGTATCCTATCAGTTAATAACGATCCTTTAATTGCATCCCAAACTCTTCAATCACATATCACAAGCCTTGAAGAATGGTGTAAAAATTGGAGAATAAAAATAAATTCCAACAAATCCCATCAAATCACTTTTACCCTCCGTCGTAAACCTATGACCTCTTGTCCTACAGTATCCTTCAATAATACTCCACTTATTCCTGTTGAGCAAATCCGCTACTTAGGACTCCACCTTGACAAACGACTCACTTGGAACCCCCATACCAGACTGAAACGACTAGAAACCGCCCGACGTTTTCGACTACTGCAGCACTTACTAGACAAACGATCTAAGCTTTCAATCAATTATAAACGACTCGTATATATGACAATAATAAGACCTATTTGGACTTACGGAATTGAGCTTTGGGGCTCCACTAAACCATCGAATTCCTCTCGTATCCAATCCTTACAATCCAAAATCCTTCGTAAAATCCTCAACGCTCCTTACTTTGTCACAAATAAAATCATCCATAAAGACCTTAATGTTCCATATGTTTCCGATCTGGCCCAATCCAGATACCTTTCCTTCCATAACAAACTGCAGAATCATCCGAATCCTCTCGTTTCAAACCTTGCTTCCTCCTCGATCCCTGATAACCCTCCGAGGCGTCTGAAAAGAAGATGGCCTCGGGATCTTCTAATATAGAACTTTAATTTGAGTTCTACCAATGGGTAGTTTCTCTTCATGTTGTACATGCCATGTTACAAATTTCTCATTTACTTATTGTATTCTCTATGTAATACAGTTGTAAATTCCATTGAAATAAAAAAAAAAAAAAAAAAAAAAAAAAAAAAAGAATTTTCAAATAAAATTTATTGAATTGCAGATATTTTTGGTAAGGGAATTTAAATTATCTAGTATTTATTATGTTATCTACTAAGAGACTGACGGAATGTTGGAAATTAACAACTACTGTTGCAACATACAGAAGGGAATGAATCTATTCTTAAATTGTATTGGAATAATTTATATATATAAAAGAGATATCTGAACTATGAAATATATTATTTGATGGGCATTACCCAACCTCGGGGTCATGAATCAATATTATCACATTTAGTCTATTACTAATCTTGCTTTAGGGGTAATTAGCTGATTTACTTGACCGACTAATGTAATGCGGGCTTTCATCTTATTGACCTAACATCATTATTATAATTATTATAACGAAATTATTATATGCACCATTACATCTGATACAGGATTCTGAGCTATTGTTATCCATATTACGTTAGCTACTCATTTGCAGAAATCTGTTTAATTTCTGGTTTGTAACAATAATAGACACTAGATTACTCATTTGAAAACTTCATTAAAATTTTTATAATATCTACTAACAATTTTAAGTTAGCAGATATTATAACAGGCAATATTAACAGGCTCCAATCACATTCCACATCAACTATGTACCCAAATGATAGTCCCATAAAATTTTATCTTACCACTGAAAAACTGATATAACTTTTAATCAAACTCTTCCTTGAAAAAGAAAAACACGTATTCAATATAACCTGTAGTACCATTTCTACCTAGATGTGACATCAATTTTCATCAGAAACTCATTGGATTCTGATCACTTCCTTAATATCCTTCCACTTCGTCTACTGTTGTACGGTATATGGTGGTGTCTCTGATGATCTCGAGACAAAATAATTGATAAATTAGTTTCTACGATCCATCTTTGGGATTCCAGGGGACGCCTCTGAATTCCATTTTTATAGGAGTTGAAGAGACTTTATTCTCCCTTCCGTCATAAGTATCTCTTGTTTTTTCTCGGTATTTAGATTTATATAACGACCCAGAAAACCGTGGTTTTCGATAGATCTTTCATTATTTCTAGTCCATCCCATTCTATATCAGGCGCTCTAAACCCACGCCACCTTTAAATCCCGCCTATTCAATCACTCCTAATCCATCCAGTTACCGTAAAATTGTAAGGTGTTTCAGTAAATTATTAATTAGTTATTAATTAGTTATTAATTATTATTATTTTATTTTGTTGTAATTTATTATTTTAGAAGCTAACATAAAATTTATTTATTTATTTTAATTCTGCTATACTTTCCTATTTAAAACTAAGGCTGTAAAGGATATTATTACAATCAACATAATTTTTTTTAGGACTTGTTTATTGAGAAATATTACTTCGGCGGTCTGCTTTGGCGGTACATATAATATAAATTTAAAGTTGAAATTATAACGATCCAATGGTAACATTATAGAATAAGGTAAAGAATTACATGTCTAATTTCAGAACCAGGACTGACAAAGTTATGTAACAATTAATGGAATACTTTTGAAATAACTGGCCTACTAATTATTAAGGTAAATAGAACTCACCTAGAGTTATACTGTTGCTGGCGTGGTTCTGGTTAGTGGCGATGGATATGTTGTGAGAGGCCCGAATCTGGATGGGCCTGTTCGGCCTGGAGCGGATGCTGCTGGCCACCAGACTGCCAAGGATGTAGCTCTGTCCACTGATCTCCAGTCCTCCGTCCAGGATCCGCACCTTACCCATTCCTTCCTGGAAGGAAGATGAATATCATTCAAAATTAAAATAGATAGGGAGGGTGGGAGTAATAAGTCAATGGGAATGACTTTCCCTCTCCTAGTCGCCTCCTCCCTTATACAGGTTAGTGGCGGTTATGTCTGGAATATTCTAAATGTATTTTCAACAACTGAAAGCAGCACAAAACAGCCAAAAGTTGACGAATAAAGTTTATCAGCAACAAGTATTCCATAGACATGATTAATCGTAAAACCTTAATGTTATCATGGCCAACTACATATCTCAGGGAATTAATTTTTATACTGCATTTTGATCCGTCTAAATGAGGAGTAGGTATGTCCAAGTGAACTAACTAAGGAAATGGTTTAATGAATACAACAAAAATACCTTTATGCCTTAATTTTACAGAGGAATTTTATAATTCTCGATAAATTTTAATTGTTGGAACGGGAACAAAACATTATGACCCGTTATATAGAGGTCAACTCCATTTCATTACTGTTGGGGTCAGATGAATTTCGAAATAAAATACAATTCTTTCCCCGGTGAGTTTCGTCAATGCTGGGGAAAATGGAAATGAAATTAAACGATGGGAAATAAGATTAATGATAATGGGTAAAAACAAAATTAGAACTGTAAAACAAGGTTAAAACGCATGCACATCAAAATGTCCAACAAATATAGTCAATCAATGGAAAGATAAAACAACGAAAAATCCCCTTCTGAATATTTAAAAAGTTTATTATTGAAATAAAGAAAAAGAAGATATGTACGTACAGAATTTATAACAAGCAAATAATGGTCCAAATGTTCTTTGAAGTAAAAATAAAACATTACTACAATTTTTAATGAAAATAAAAAAAATATCCACCAAAAACATAACATAAAAAAAATAAACTTCTAAAATTAAAAATCAATAACAAGAGAAAAATTAACTTAAAGAGGAAAAACAAATTAATATCTAAATGACTTTTGACGGTGGGTAGATACAAAAAAAAAAAAAAAAATCCCAGAGGGAAGTAAATAATCTTACTTCCAACGAGGTTACCTCTCTTGCTGTTGAACTGTCGGTGGTGGGGGGTATCGATACGCGTATCGATATCGATGATTGCCGATGTGCCAAACAGCTGTACTTTTACAATGGCACTAGGTGAGGTTGAGCCGGGAGTGGCTGTACGGGAGGAGGGTCAGAAGCCCAAATACTTAGGTCCTGTGTCTATGAAATGACTATATAAAATATATTTTTGAGGCAGCTCAACATTTAAGTAATTTTTTTTTTTAATTCAACATTTTTTATCGCTGCCTATGTTCCAACAATGCTCTGATTTAACAAATGGAATTTCGCCAAAGTGTTTATTTTTATTAAATGTTATTTAATGCCTATTTATAATAAACCAACGACATATCGTATTTGATTATAATTTTTATCTGTTGAGTATTTTTTTTTAAATAAATAACAAAATATCGTTAGGTCAATCTTCAAGTGTTTGTATAACTTTGAAAACATTACATTAGCTGTAAATAAAAAATAAATTAATGAAATAATATTGTACAAATACGGATAATTCGGTCAAGAAGTGCTATAAAAAAGCCCCAAACACGATTAGTGGTAATTAAATTTATTGTAATCAGTCTTCCTCTTCGTTAGATGCGGTTTTTATTTAATCAATTATTTAATCACTTTTTAGGAGTTGTTTTCCATCTTAAAAATAAAATAAAATATACACGTGAAGCAGAAAACCATAAAGACGGTTGGATTATAGTTTGACAGTTCTAAATTTTATGCCTGACACCCATTTGAATAAATAAAGAGCGCAAGCTAAAGTTTGCCACTTTATACGTTTGTCCCTTAGGCTTAAAACTTTTCATTGACAAAGAAAGGAGTATAAAAGTTTGCTGTTTGACCTTCAGGTACCTGTGTGTTTGATCTTTCTTTTTAAGTTTTGGAATATTAGTTTTAAAAAATATTGCTTAATTACCAGGAAGCTGCTGATATTAGTCTTAAAATTTTGGATTGAAATGATATGGATTTGAGTAGGTAAGTTCATGTAATTAATTCTTATCTGACTTTCAATTTTGATTTTTAAAAAAAAGTTAGTATTGTATTTTCAGTCGCGTGTTCTGTCTCTCGTTTTATTTTTATGTGTGGGCGCCAGATCATTCTTCTGTCGAATAATAGCCCGAGATAACCTATGAATAATTTGTAGCCGATGTACACTGGTGGGCATGCGTATCGTCGAATATAAGTGCTATATATTGTGATTTATCGTGATTTAATCTAATTCTTTGATCAATTATTAACGTTTTATTTATATTATTAATATTTTTCTTTTTTTTTTTTATATGTCTTACAGATATTTCGTCCATTTTTGAGACCGGGGTAAGCCTAAATAGATAAAATAACATACTGTATCCTCTATACAAAAAGTTATAAATAGAATTGTCATTCCATGGAATAAAAATGATTAGAGTACAGTCTTCAGAATAATATAAAAAAAAAAATCGTCTCAGAGATTTAAAAAACAAAACAAGTTTTCATTTAAAATAATTACAATTTGCCAGATTAAAGAGCAACATGTAAGATCGATCGTTATCTTCAGTATCACAGATGTTTTATTAATTTTTGAAAGGGTTGATGCAGAGAAATATAAAATCGAAGCCTAGTCAAATGTTTTAAGTATAAATCAAATACGTATACGATCAAACAAATATAGAACTGCAGTAGTAATAGATCTAGTTAAGGAACACACATTATCGTTTTCCAGAAAACCAGCCGAGTTTAGCATTTTCAGAGCTGAACTTTTCGAAACGTTAAAAGTAACTTATTATTGTCGACTCAAACTCTAACATAGTTATTCTCACAGATTCGGACTCCTCTTCTAAAGACTCAATGCAATCCATAACAAAAAAAATTATATCTTATGTAGTGTTGCCCAAATGCAAGACCGAGCCGAGTCTTGGTCTTGCAAACTCAGTCTTGGTCTTGAGGGTCTCGCAAAAGTCATGCAATTACTTACTAGCTTATTACTATAGAGATATTACTGTAATATTTTAGATAGTAGAAAAGTAACGAAGCCCGAATGAAAAATTAGAAGGGTTAAATGCAAAAGTATATTTGTTATACCAATTCTTTACATATAGTAACTAAGATTGTCAAATATTAGTAACTATTTTGCGTTAATTTTTATTCAAAAAATCGATTTTTTTTAACATTCCTGGTTTTGGTCTAGCAACAGTTAGGCGGCCTTTGTCTTGGTCTCGCAAAGTGCAAGTCCAATACCGAATTTGGGCAATACTAATCCCATGTAACATTTGAAATAATAAATAACATAATAACTTGCAACAACCAATAACAATTTTAGTAGATACCAAGCCGCATACATAGGTTTATCTGGAAACGTGACTGCTGACAGAGAGGAATAAGACAAGCTATGAAAGGAGATAGCAAGGTACCAATGATGAACCTATTTAAGTTTATTAAAGAAAAAAGCAATAGGGGAATGGCAAGATTGGTGCCACTGGGAGTCACTAATGAAAGGGAGAAAGATTATCAAGTACGGTCAACTGTGTTTTGTTGCATAGTTTTATCGGAATCGGCGACCCAAACAAGAAAATACTGTAAGAATAGTAAGGCTGCGGTCATCAAGAAATATCATAACATAAAATTGAAAATTATGGCAATTATGAAGTTTGTAAAGCGCCAGAAAATACATTGCACATCCTGTTTAGATGTTTGATACACAGCAAAGAATATATGAATTAGCACCTCATGAAGACATGAGTAGATTATGAGTTAATGATGAATTGAACATTTATAAGTAGCTTTACAAAAATCTTATGTTTTAACATAGCCCACACGCCACCAGAACATGCAACCTAGGACAGCACCTTAGGAAGGTTACGTATGCCATCTACAGCTATAGTTTGTGATACATGCCCATTTTTATCAAATTATGAACATCCGCCTGAATCTTCGTAAATAGCTTCATCTCATCGTAACCTACAACTATTTTATTTATCAAAACTCTTGGAATTAGGGAGTTCTTAATCTGGATTTCGGCAAACTTTGTCTATTTAATTAGTTACTAAATACTCGTATACAACCATCTGCTTTCTACTTGGATCATAAGATAATTTGATCACGAAATCGAGAAAAAAAGGTGGTCTAAAAATTACTGGATCGTTTGGCCTATGTAACATCGTTATTTTGAAAAATTGGGGGTGTAGGTCACGCCAAACGCTCGATATTTTTTAAGGCAATTTTTGTTATCGATTTGCACTCAAATTATCTTACGATTTAAGTGGAAAGCAAATGGTAATTTATAAGTTTTTAGTACCTAACTAAATAGGCAAAGTTTCCGATCTCCCGATTGAAAACGCCCCGATTACGAAAATAGTTGTAGATTATGATTAGATGAAACTATTTACAAAGTTTTTAGACGGGTGTTAATAAAAGGGATCTGTACCACGTACTATAAAACCAACCTTTGGTTCATTAATTATAAGGTAACATATTTATAATTACATAATTAACGTATTTTTTTTTCAATAGTCCCCATCCTCAACTTTATATTTAAAATAATGATAATTGAATGAGTTCAGATTTCGTAGCTACATCAAAGGTTGAAAAAATACTAGGTCTATACATCAACTGTTAACCGTCTGGAGTATTTTTTCAAAGACAACAGAACAAAAAAAAAAAAATTAAAAACAATTGGATAGCACAAGTTTACTTTTTGAGGTGACCATTGAAAGGTACCAATTAGGTCAAAAGTGCAATCAATGCAGAGAGGTACAAAGGGAAACAAGAACAAAAGGGGACGGCTACAAAAGGTAAAAGAGAAGGCTTGGTTAATCTTGTATGAGGGTACGCCGCGTAGCCATTGTGCCTAGTAGCAAATTCTATATCGCAGCCGGTTGTCAGGAATAGAGCAGGAATAAGTTATAAACTGTTTATATATGGCGTCCATGTCCTGTGCAAATGTCGGCGGTTATTACTTCTTCATGAAGCCAGG